GGAGGCCACCCATGATCCTGCTGCCCCGCTGGTCACTGGGCTGTCCCCAGCCGAGCTGCGTCTCCTCCTCTCCTTTGCCTACACAGGAGCTGTAGCAGGGACATGGCCCATGGTCTTGGAGGCAGCTGAGACCTCCCTGCGCTACCAGGCCTGGGGACTCCTCACTCTCTGCATGGATGTTTTCACCCATGGCCTGACCCCAGAAACTGGCCCTGATGTGCTGGCCTTCGCTGTGGCTTATGGGCTGGACGAGGTGGTCCATGCAGCAGAAAACTACATCTTGGCCACCTTCCCCAGCGTGGTGCTTACACCAGCCTTCCTGGAGCTTCCTGCACACCTTCTCATCCGCCTCCTCCGCTCTGATGGTCTCAAYGTCCTCCACGAACTGGAAGCCTTGGAAGCAGCATCTCGGTGGCTTACAGCCAACGGACATGGCCAGGAGGATCTAGCCAAAGAGATCTTGTCTTCTGTTCGCTTTGCCCTCATGTCCAGCCTGGAGCTGAAGAAGGTCCCATCTGTGACTGCTGGGATAGCTGACCCAAAGGTCCTCCGCGAGCTCATGGTAGAAAGTTTCGCCCCCACGGCCCAGCTGCCGTGCCGGGTACGTTCTTTGCAAGAGGTGCTGGTGGTTTGTGGTGGAGACAAAGTGAAGGGCAACCTGGCTGCCCGGAAGCCCAGCAGGCACCTCTGGTTTGCCGACCGCTACCTCAGTGCTGTGGGGCTGGTAAAGMAAGTTGAGTGGCGGGCACTGGGACACTTTCCTGATGGCCCACGCTTCCGTCATGCTGTARCTGTGGTGGGCAACAACCTCTACRTCCTGGGTGGAAAGCACTACTATGGGGTCCATGACACCCTAGCCAGTGTCTACAGGTGAGAGCTACAGAGGAGTTGCCGTGTGGCACCAGGACACCATGGGATCATAAGAGGTGTTGGTAGAGCTAGATTTGCCCTGTGGATCCAAGATATTGTGGCATTGCAGCTGATAAAGTGGCCCCAAGATATTCTGGGATGGGTTGGGTGTAGGACTCAGAGATGCCTCCTACTCTGGGGTATTACAGGCTTTTGGGAGCAGTAGCAGGAAGCTCCTACCTGGAGATGCCTCAGATCATTATGGTATCCTCCAGAAGGAGGGGATATTCCCATGCAAGCTGGCCRTGTGACCCCAAGGCATTCTGGGACTGGCAGGTTGTAGGTGGGTTGCTACCCTCAGTTCATGGTATTGTAGGTAACAGGKAGTCTCTTGTCTCTTTGCCTGTCMAACCCAGGTACCAGCCTATGGATGATTCCTGGGAGCGGCTGGCCAGTATGACATGTGGGCGGAGCTACTTTGCTGCTGTGGCACTTGGGAATTTCATCTATGCCCTGGGGGGCAGCTCAGGGGAGCTCTACTGCACAGATACTGTGGAGTGCTATGACCTGGCCAATGACACTTGGAGGTGAGGTTGCTCCAGCAGATGCCTATCTCCCCTTYTCTCTCGGAGCCCCTTGCCTTGGCCACGGTGCCCACTGAGTGCTTTGGGTCACTAAGCCTCCAGTGGAGGATGGAACTGCAGTGGTATTTGGGAAAAGTCTACTGGGTATGAACAACTACGTCCCTTGGGGTCTGGGTGTTGGCTAGTGTTGCCTAGTGGGTGGCAAATGAGTTTTTGGCCAGCAGTGTGTTCATTGCACATCTCATTGGCCATCTGCCAATGAGACAAGTAGTTTGATTCCTCTCACTGGCAGAACGTTCATGGAGTGATGGCCAATGCTGTACATTGAGGGAGCCTGTTGTAGGTGACCAATGGTGTGGATACTACTAAGTGTTTAACAGTGATACCCCTTGGGCATCCATCCTGTGTCTGCTGATGTTGTCCACTGGGACTCATTGGTTATTGGCAAATGTTGCCTGCTGAGTGGTCAATGAAGCCATGGCTCACCAGGGAACCCCAGGGTAGTCAGTCACTGCATGGCAATCCTGCTTAACCTGTCCTTCACCCCTCCCTCTCTCGTTGCCCAGGAGGTGCCAGCCYCTGCCAATGGCTCTGTGTGGGCATGCGGCATGTGCCCTGGACGGTGCGCTCTACGTGTCGGGTGGCTGTGACGAAGCATACCAGTGTCAGGCATCCTTGCTCCGCTATGTCCCCGGTGCCCCTGTCACACGCCTGGCCCCCATGAATGGCGAGAGAGCTGGCCACGTTATGGAAGAGGCAGGTGGGCAGCTCTATGCAGCCGGGGGCCTGTGTCAGCGTGCTGGGCRCACTGGCTACAGGGACCAGCTGACCTTCGAGGTCTACAAACCCAAGCAGAATATCTGGGTCCTTCTCAGCCCCCTGCCCCGTGCACATGTAGTTGGGGGTGCCGCTGTGCTGGGCGGGGAACTGCTTGTACTGGGKGGGTATAGTCACGAGACCTATCAGGACACGCACTTGATCCACGCCTACCAGCCGGCTGCCCGGCGCTGGATCACCCGGGGCACCTTGCCCCATGCCTACACTGACCTACAAGCCTGTGTTCTCACTGTACCCCCTGCCCTGCGTGGCCCCAGCTGCCTTAAGGACCCCTTGAGATCAAATAAAATAWCAACTCCCAATAATTCTTAGGGTATACTTAGCTTAAAAGCTCTGCACCTCGTACTGGGATACCCGGGTTACATCCACAGGTACATCTATGGGACAAAAGTGTCCACTAGGTTCTTTCTGTGGTTTCCAGCAATGCTTCACCCTCAGGATATATGAACCTGTGGATCATAAAGATTCCCCACACTATAGCCCTGTGCCTTCAGGAATACTCAATCCCCTTCTCTGAGAACCTTCACTAGCAGCTGGGCASATTCCCCCCACAACTGGGCTGAATAAAAGTGCTTCCTGAACTCTCTCTGGGTCTTGTTTTTTTCTGGTGGGGAACCTAGACATCCAGGTGCTTCCAAAAAGGAGCAGGAGGAGGGCAGGAGACCAATGACCTGGGTGWCCAGGGTGGGTGGTGCTGGGCACTGCATGCTTGGGTTCACTGGGCAGGAGGGTGTAAATGTGTGTCTCAGGCCTGAGAGGGATCTTAGAGTGCACAGGGGATCCTGAGCAAATAAAGTCCTGGGGCTTCCAGGATTTGGGGGGGGGTTGATATCAGGGTAGATAGAGTACAACAGCGGGTCCTGGGGACTTTAGCGTTCCTGGGTGGTTTTGCTGGACCTTGTTCACCTTTCAGTGAGATAGATAGATAGATTAGATAGATAGAT